CCAGGCTGGAGTGCAGTGGTATGATCACAGGTCAGGGCAGCCTTGACCTCCCAGGCTGAGGTGATCTGATCCTCCTGCCTCAGCCTCCCCAAGTAGCTGAGACTACAGGCATGCGCCACCATGCTTGGCTAGTATTTTTGTATTAAGGTTCTCAGTTTCTGACTTATCTTTTTACACTTTATGGTGCCTATTGATGTATAAAAGTTCTTAGTTTGGCTGGGCATGGTGGCTCATGCCTGTAAACCCAGCACTTTGGGAGGCCAAAGCAGGCAGATTGCTTGAGCCCAGGAGTTTGAGACCAACCTGGGCAACATAGTGAAACTCCATTTCTACAAAAAACACAAAAATTAGCTGGATGTGGTGGTGTGAGCCTGTAGTCCCAGCTACTCATGAGGCTCAGATAGGAGGATGGCTTGAGCCTTGGAGATCAAGGCTTCGTCGTGCCAAGATTGCACCACTGCACTCCAGCCTGGACAACAGAGCAAGACCCTGTCTCAAAAAAAAAAAAAAAGTTCTTAGTTTTATTGTAATTGCACTTATGAATCTTTGTCTATGTGGATTCTATTTTCTAATTTGTTTACGGGATCCTTCCCTATTGTAAGGTTATAGCCAGCACTTATTGAGTACTTTCTATGTTTCGGGTACTCCTTATCATCTCCCTTTTACAGGTGATGAAGACAAGGCTCAGAGAAATTGAGCAACTTGATGAGGTCATACAGCAAATAAGCAGTGGAGTCAGGATTTGAACCCAGACAGTCTGCCTTGTGTTTGCACCTTAACAATTGCCAAACTGCTGCTTATAGAGATGGTGTCATATGTTATTCTATAAGATTTAAAGTTTTGTCTCTCTCATCAAAGTCTCTAATCTGGACTTGGTTTATGATGTGAGATACCTGAATTAATCCATACCCTTCTCTACTTTGGCCCCTTAAAAGCTCCTAATTTGAGTAATGCTTATTGTAGCACAACTAGTATCAACTGAATTGTGCTAGAGATGAATTTAAAAAAAAAAAATTTTATTCATGGGAACAATTGACACTGTGGACTGCTAGAAAGGGGAGGGAAGGAGGAGGGCATAGGTTGAAAAACTACCTATTGGTAACTATGCTTACTACCTGGATGCAAGAAACCCATGTAACAAACCTGCACATGTCCTCCTGTATCTACAAAAAAGTTGAGAGAGAGAGGAAAAAAAAAAAAAGCTGTTTTGTTGATGCTGCCAGTGACTGATCCCAGGCAAGGTAGGCAAAATCTAACCCTGCTCTCTAAGTAAAATGATTTGGCACCAGAGTAGAGTTCTTCAAATTAACTGAAGAAGACAGACCTCCACGTTTCAGCCCTTTTTTTAGCTTTTGGCATCCCGTAAAGTGAACAGGATATCCCCTGAAGAAATCCCACGAGAGGTAGAGGCCGTCACAAAGTACGGAACAATCTCCACAGCTCTGCCTACACTGCTGGGACCAAAATAGTTCACATGGCATTCCTGCCGCCTCCTTGTGAACTGTGTGGGAAGGAACGCTGGTCACGAATTCTTCGTTTCAACCACCCCCACACACTAGGACAGCAGCAGCAACAGCAGTGACATCTTGGAATCTAGAGAACAGCACGTGGTAGGCTGTACATCAAATCTTCTCTGCATCATGTACCATCTTCCTCCAAAATTAGAGGTTTTAAACAAATGTAAAGAAATTGAAAATGATTTTTTAAATTAAGAAATAAAATGGGAACAAGTTGAGTATAGCAGAGTATCAACTAAAGAAAAAAAAATCAAGCTTTTAAAGAATTAAACTTAGTTTTATTCAGAAGTCTCACTGAATTTTTTGAGGCCAGGAGTTCTAGACTGGTCTGGGAAACATAATGAGACCCCATCTCTACAAAAAAATTTAAAAATTGGCTGGGCACAGTGGCTCATGCCTGTAATCCCAGCGCTTTGGGAGGCTGAGGTGGGCAGATCATGAGGTCAGGAGTTTGAGACCAGCCTGGCCAACATGGTAAAACCCTGTCTCCACTAAAAATACAAAAATTAGCCGAGCGTGATGGCGTGCACCTGTAATCCCAGGTACTCAGGAGGCTGAGGCAGGAGAATTGCTTGAACTCAGGAGGCAGAGGTTGCAGTGAGCTGAGATTGTACCATTGCACTCCAGCCTGGGCAACAGAGCAAGACTCCATCTTAAAAAAATAAATAAGGGCCAGGCGCGGTGGCTCAAGCCTGTAATCCCAGCACTTTGGGAGGCCGAGACGGGCAGATCACGAGGTCAGGAGATCGAGACCATCCTGGCTAACATGGTGAAACCCCGTCTCCACTAAAAATACAAAAAACTAGCCAGGCGATGTGGCGGGCGCCTGTAGTCCCAGGTACTCGGGAGGCTGAGGCAGGAGAATGGCGTAAACCCAGGAGGTGGAGCTTGCAGTGAGCTGAGATCCGGCCATCTCCAAAAAAAAAAAAGTGTGGACTTTGGCCAGGCACGGTGGCTCATGCCTGTAATCCCAACACTTTGGGAGGCCGAGGCGGGCGGATCATGAGGTCAGGAGATGGAGACCATCCTGGCTAACACGGTGAAACCCTGACTCTACTAAAAATACAAAAAATTAGCTGGGCATGGTGGCCGGCACCTGTAGTCCCAGCTATTCAGGAGGCTGAGGCAGGAGAATGGCATGAACCCGGGGGGCGGAGCTTGCAGTGAGCCGAGATCGGGCCACTGCACTCCAGCCTGGGCGTTAGAGTGAGACTCCGTCTCAAAAAAAAAAAAAAAAAAAAAAAAAAAGTGTGGACTTTATTATGTCAATGGGGAGGCTTCGAGGTATTTTAAACCAGAAGGTAACACACTCCATTTAATATTTTGCTTGTTAGCAACTGTACAACCACTTACAATCTGGCTGATAGAAAAATACTAAAGAGTGGTTGTACCAGGCTTGACTGGTTCCCCTCCCCCATGCCCCCATGGCATTCCCACTCATCCTGGTTGGTAGAGCTCACTTCTCACTAGGCGGGAAATAGCCAAGAATCACTTTCCCAGCCTCCCTTGCTGGTAGAACATGGGCATGTGACCCAGTCCCAGCCAATGGGATCTGAGGTGAAAGGATGCAGGGAGGATTCTGGAAAAGGCTTTCCTCCCTCAATGGACAAGGCCAGTACCACAGGGATAGCAGAGCAGAAAGGTGGAAGTGACAACATAATAGAACCACGTAGAGACATATTCCTCTGGAGATAGCAGATACTTATTGTTTAAGCCACTTTTATTTGGATATTCTGTTACTTGCACCTTAAAGCATGTGAAGAGAAAGAAGCATTAATGAAGTCACCAATATCAATTAATGTGATGTTATAGAAAACTTATCAGACCAGGCATGGCAGCTCACACCTGTAATCCCGTCACTTTGGGAGGCCGAGATGGGACAACTGTTTGAGGCCAGGAGTTCTAGACCAGTCTAGGAAAAATAGCGAGACCCTGTCCCTACAAAAAAATAGAAAAATATTAGCCAGGACCCGGTGTGGTGGCTCACACCTGTAATCCCAGCACTTTGGGAGGCCAAGACAAGGGGATCACTGGAGGTCAGGAGCTTGAGGCCAGCCTGGCCAACACCGTGAAATGCTGTCTCTACTAAAAATACAAAAATTAGCCAGGCATGGTGGTGTGAATGTGTAGTCCCAACTACACAGGAGGCTGAGGCAGGAGCATTGCTTGAACCCAGGAGGCGGAGGTTGCAGTGAGCTGAGATTGTGCCACTGCACTCCAGCCTAGGCAAGAGAGAGAGAGACTCATCTAAAAAAAAAAAATAGCTGAGCATGGTGGCATGCACCTGTATGTAGTCCCAGGTGGGAGGAACACTTGGGCCCAGGAATTTGAGGCTACAGTGAGTCAAGATCACACCACTGCACTCCAGCCTGGGCAACAGAGCAAGACCCTGTCTCAAAAAATAAAATAAAATGTAATATAACAAATGGAGACCTTTTTCCTTCAGGTATTTATTTGAAGTAAACCAGCCTCTTAAAATTGGGAATAGTTAACTACAATTGTTAGCTCTTCACTGAACATCTCGAGTGCTTAAGCAAGAAACTACACAATTTCTGAGATGACATGTCTTGCTTTTTCTCACATGTGAAATGACTTTTTCTCACTCTTTTCTCTCATTTGCACATTTCCCCTAAGAAACACTGAAAACTGTCCCTGCTCCCTTCTAGGCAGCAATTCTCTTTTCTTGAAGGTCTCTTTTTCATGAAGTCATGGAAGTCAAAGCACATTATCTAAGAAAAACCTCAGCATTGTGTAAACAAAAGAAGGCAAGTATCAGGCTTCAGACAACAGTATAGAATCATGGTCTTTTTAAAGTGAGAAATACCTTACAGATCATTTGTGGTCACACATTATTTGAATACAGGTAAAACCAGAACATCTCGTTAGAGTTCTTAAGATTAATAACAACATTTATCTCTCATCCTGAATTCATATATACAGTAGCTGGCAACTTTTCCGCAATTCCACCTGGTCCCATCTGAAGAAAACCCAATCCAGTCATCGCACATTGGGGTCCTACGGTCTACCACATTCCTCATTCAACGAATATTTACTAAGGATGTATCAAGCACTGGCACTGAGATTTAATCGCTCGGATCTTTTTTGCTCATATTGCTTACAATATTTCTGGGAACTCATGACTTTTTCATATGCAATCAATTTTTAAAATATCAATGAGAAACACTACATATGTGATAGAGGACCGGAATTGCCAGGTAGAGATGGGAGATGGTAGCTGCTTTGGGTTAGTCAGTGTCTCCTCCTTTTCCATCGACTTGGACAAATGTTTACATCGGAGATGATCTGATTCTGGCCCCGACAAGCGCGGGCACCCGTTGCGGAGGGCCGCCCGGATTGCCCCCTGGGCAGTGCGGCCCGGAGGATGCAGACACTGGCCCGGCGGGAGGAGGACGCGGTGCGAGCCGTGCGGCCCCGGGAGGCCGCAGATCGCCGGTCTCCCCGCCAACACCTCGCTTCGGAGGAGGAGAGGAGGCCGCGCACGGCCTGGCTGGAAGCACCTGCGGCCGCGCGGGGGCGGGAGCCAGGTGGCCTCGGCGCGCCAGCCTAGCCCGGGCACCGAGCAGGAAGTGGCTGCGGCGCGGCCCGGGCGCGGCCTCCTCGCGGTGCAACCGGGCAGGGAGGCGGCCGCAGCCTGAGCCGGAGCCTGAGCGCCGGGAGCAAGACCTCATGGCAGCGTTGGCGCCCGCGGGCCCCGGGGACGCCGCCTCGGCCGCCCTGGACGAGCTGTCACTGAATTTCACGTACGGGGCGCCAGGCGTCGGCAACGGCTCCCTCTCGGGCGCCTGGTACCGCAGGAACCAGGTAAGGGCCGCCCCGCAGCTCCCGCAGCCCGGTGGGGACACGGCCGGGGCGGCTGCCTCCGGGAGCCTCTGCGCCTCGGCCGCTTTCCTGCCAGCTCTCAGGAAGACACCCGGGCTCTCCGAGTGGAAGGAGCTGACATGCGATGTTTCCTGCATTGACCTAAGTCCCCCTCCTGTGGGAGCGCGGGGGTCCGCCCAGTCTTCCTCTCCCGGGCACCCGGCACTGGGAGTGGGCGTCCAGGTCCTGGGCCTTGACCTCAGCCACCCGTTTCTGGGCCTCCTGGTCCCGATCCCGCCTCCCCAGCCTGCGTCCGCCCTCTTCTGCCGGAAGGAATCTAGGAGTGTGGGGGCGATTATTCACTCATTTTCACCCCAGGATCCTTTTGCAGTTAAAAGAAAAGAAGAAAAAAAGTGACACCCCGTTGTCAGAAGCAGAAAACTCATTAAGGGCAACCTAATGTCACCTCGCGCAGATGCCCTGCGTGTGTCCCTGGTGTCTCAACACAGCTCTTCCATTTCCGTGCGAGGAACACATTTTCTCAGGTTGCATTTGCAGGACTCTCATTCTTTCCAACCGGCCCTTTGGGAAAACATTGTTAACTTAAACAACGCCAGTTTACACTGGAAATATACATTTAACAAAATCAAAGGGACTTGGAGTCGCCCATTTATTTTTGGCTTGGTTTAAGATGAGGAAGAGCTCTGACCAACCCTTCCTCTAGCAGCATTCATATTGCAACTGAGTTTTATCAGGGTGGATTCCAGGCTTCCTCCTGTTTTCATTAAATGTGTTACTTTGTTCTTGTTCTTTAACAAAACCATGGATACTTTTATTTTTGCAACAATATAATCAGAAAATATTTGTTGCTGTTGTTCTAAATCAGAGAGTTTAACCAATTATTAAAGATTTAGATTCCTTTTATGCCTGAAGTGTTTTAAACGCTAATTTCTGAATGCAGAAGACAATATATTTGTATAAAGAATAAGTAGGATAAATAAGCATGCTCACTTTATTAGTTTTCAAGAGGGGAGAGTATTGCTTTAAGTCATTTCATCATAAAAGACATAAAAATAGGAAAAATGAGGGTACTCAGAGCCTCTTGATCAGTGTTTGTAATCCATCCCCATTTCTCCTTTCTTCTACAAAGGAATTACAAAGAAAAGCATCATTTTTATGGGAACTTGAGTATATCTATTATATTATTCTTATATTAGATGCATTCCCAATGTAAGTTTAAGAATGAGTTATCTATCCCCTCTTGAAAAAAAAAAAAAAATTAGAGGGTTAGTAGATGTGATCATCCAAAAACAGGACATTGTTTTCACAGTGGAAACCTCTGTAGTCATTAGTTTTCTTTGACATTTCCTGGAATTCTTGATTGTCTTGGCTCTCTGATAACCAAACACAGATTATCATGTGACATTAATGCGAGGCAAATAAATACTGTTTGCAAGGCTTAATTTGCCTTTGACAGTGTGTATTTGTACAGGTTAGAAAGGATGTATCCAGAATGTGCTAATTGAAATTACTGAGCTGACATCTAAACTTTGCTGGTTTGAGATAAGACTGTATCAAGTTTTCCCATTTACTGTGCAAATTTAGGCCCTCTTATAAGATGGTGGTATTTTATCTTTTTGGTAATTGCATTTGTGTTAAGCAAAAGTAAAAATTAATTTTTAAAAAGTTCACTCGAGAAGCATTTTATTGAGTGCCTCTGGTGTTGTCCAGGCCAGTAAAAATAAAATTGAGTCTATTTTTTCTTGTCTTTTTTAACACTGAATAGAAATGGCTGAAAATGGGTGTGGTTCCAGAAAAACAAAGTGTGAGATATAAATGTGTCACTCCCACAATCAAAATGAATGTTGGTTGCTAGCTAGCCACAGCTTAATGATGCTTATTTGCTTGCCTCCATTGGTTTTATCACAACTAAAATATTTGCACAGTGCGTGCTGGCTAATAGCCTAGTTCTCTGTCCCTTTGTCCCTTCCAAAGTGATTATCGTCAAATCTGATCAATTAACCTTACTACATAGAAATAGACAAACTTCCCTGGAATGCTTTCATGTAATAGATGAATGTTTAACAGTGGCCATTTGGAATCAATGTTGTCTAAGGCAAAGATGTGAGTGCTTCCAGAGGAAGAAATCTCAAAGCAACTCAAAAGTAGTAGTTCAGTGGGGGAAGATGTCTTAGGAGCAGGGAGGTAAGGTCTTTGCCCTTTGCACTACTCAGATGCTGTGTGCTTGGTGAAAAGCCTGGCCTATAGAAGTGACAGAGTTGTGCCAGGTAAACAAAGGGCACTTTATGTTTGATCCACAAGTTTTCAGTAGAGAAGGATAATGTTCCCAAGATGTTTATTGAGCTCCGTGCTATGTACAAAGCACTGCAGGGATATTCAATATAGTGCAAGACCCAAACTCTTCCTTCTGTGAATATTATTAGGTGTTTGGGAAAATGAGCTGTGTAAGTAATGCCAAAACAAGGCAGTATGTTGTAAGTGTCATGTGAGTGATATAAAGTCCTATGGAAATTCAGAGGAAGGGGGCATTTGGCTGGCCATCAGTGATGCTTTGTGGAGAGGTGGAGCTGGACAGTTAAAGATGGACAGGGTTTCATTGATAGGCATGCACAGTGTAGGGCATTTCAGGAAAGGAAAAAGCTCAGGGACCCAGGAGCAGCCCTCATGGCCTGGACAGGTGCCTTTCTGAATATTTTCCTTCCTAGAGTACAGTTCAGCCATCATTCGGGTTGCGGTGGAAGATGGAGACTGACTATAAGGTGGAAATATGTTTTGGGGTCTTGGATATAGCCATGGATTGCCTTGAAGGACTGGTGACAAAGTTTAGACTTTACCTTGTAGACAGTGGGGAGCCATTGAAGATTTTTTTTGAGAAAGAGTGCAGGAATCAAAGCAAATTAAATTTTAAAAATTTAAATTAAGGCTAGCCAGATCCAGAGTTTTCAAACTGGCCAGCTGTGGACTCAATCCAGCTTGTAGATACATCTTATTTGGCCGGCAGAGAGGCTTCAAAATCTTCAATACATTGCCAGCACTTTAAAATGAGAAGATTAAATACAAAATTTCAAGTTACCATAATCTCTTTAAATATTAGGAGTTCCAGCAACACTGGGCCTTTTCCCCCACATGATCACTGAGCTGGATATCATGTTTAAAGCAAGCTGTGCTTCCTGCTGTAGCTCTCTTGCTTCTCTTTTCTTTTACCTACTGACTCCCACACGCATTTTTTAAAAATTTTTAATTTTTATGGATACATAATAGTTGTACATATTTATGTGGTCCATGTGAAATTTCAAAACATAGGCATTTAATATGCAACCAGTGCTAGAGTCTGTCACCTCTGCTGTTAACTAGCATACTTGGACAGGTCACTTAATTTCTCTGGACGTCAGTTTCCTTATTGGTAAAAATTACAATTGAACCACAAGATCTCCAGCTTCCCTCATGCTATGTGGTTGAATAAATAAGGGACAAACCAGCAAGGTTTGTAGAGAGAATGGATAGAAGAGGGAAAATGTGGGAAATAATGGGAAGGAGGATTTTGTTGTTGGTTCTTTAAATTTACGCATATTGTTAAATGTCTAAATTCACAAGGACATGGTCAGAAAGGTTTTTTCTGCATAGGGTGAGATGAAACTTCAGGATTTTTTATGCCCTTTCTTTGAACTTTTGATATTCAATGGCTTGGATTTTAAAGTCAACATATTTAAGGGAAAATTGATACAACTTGGCAGGGAGGAGGACAGCAAGGAGACGGACATTTGTTATGCATTTACTGTGTGACACTTTATAGCTGTTATCTCATTTGAGCCCCCCTCAGCCTCGTAAGGTATGTATTATCCTCACTGCTCATGTAAGGAAACTTGTGTTAAATAACTTGCCCCGAGATCTTACAACAAGTGGATTTAACTGCAAAACTACTTTTATTCCATGCCTGAAGGCCATCGCTAGAAACTAAGGCTTGAAAACAATGTGGTAAGAGTCCATGTGAAGGGAAAATGATTAAGCCTTCTCTCTTGCTGGTCTTGAGAAAAATCGTGCTGAGTTTTATATTACCCTTTTATTAATTTTGCTTTGCTACCATCTATCTCTTTTCTGCTAGTAGCTGCATATGACTATCTCTTAAAGAAAGAATAGTGCAAAACTTTCAAATTGCTGGTCCTTTCCATTTCCTTCCTAAGAAAAATCCTTTTTCTATTTTGTTTTGTTCATACTTGATTTTGTTCCCTTTGTTATGTATCCAATGTGATATTTTTTCCTTTATCAGATTTTCTAGGAGATGTACGTATAAGGCAGCAAGAAGCCAAACATGGTAGCTTGTGCCTGTAGTCCCAGCTACTCAGGAGGCTGAGACAGGAGGAGCTCTTGAGTCCAAGAGTTCAAGACCAGCCTGGGCAACATAGCATGATGCTGTCCCTTAAAAAAAAAAAAAAAAAAAAAAAGTAAGAAAAGAGAGGGAGGAAGAAAGAGATTATGTCAAAGCAACTGTTCAAAACTTTTGTAAATCAATAAATAAGTCCCCTGGCCCTTGTTAGAGGAACTGAGTTTTAATATACTTGTGTATATGGCAGACCAGATATTTTCATTTAAATCTACCTGATACCCTCCTTATGGCTTGACTAATACTACATAGTTATAATATTCACATTGAGGCAATCAGCCAAATCCAGGCTATGGGAAACTGCCAGTCTACAGCATACATGGCCTGGTTTCTTAAAAAATCATTTTGATAAGGAAAAACGGGGAAAAAATAGATAGTTGGATGACCTATCGATTAAAATAGACCTAAAAGACACAGCAGAAAAAGACACCATTTACTATAGTATTTAGGGTTTCTTAAAAAATCATTTTTATGAGGAGAAAAGCGGAAAAAATGGGTAGTTGGATGACCTATAGATTAAAATAGACCTAAAAGACACAGCAGAAAAAGACACCATTTACTATAGTATTTAGGGGCACACACTTGGGTGATAAAGCTGTAAGAAAAAGCTAGAAAGTGATTGCCACAAAGTCAGGCCAGCAATTCCTTTGGGGAAGGGAGAGGGTTGTGATGGGAGGAGGAAAAGGGAGGGTTTGGGTGGGGACCCAATTTCTATTCTTGATCTGGATATTTTCCTTATGATAATTTATTGTAGTAATTTACTCATCAAAATAATTATCTTCACAGTTGTCTATATAATTTTTAAAACCTTAAAAAATAATACTAAAATTGCTATGACTATTCAGTTTGCATGCTTCACCTAGGTAGCATGGGAAATGGTATGTCATAATCATTTTGTTAGTTTATGAGAATTAAACAATTTGTTTTTCCAATTGTTCCAATTTTCCAATGTTGATGACTATTCACACTGACATTTGAGAACTTACCTTGGAGAGGTTGACATTCCCCAAAGCTATCCTTTTTGTTTCTGTATTGTGCTGTTATAAAAGCTTGGACTTTAGTGGGTGTGTTGCCAAGTTTCTCGATTTCTCCATTTCTTGGCTTTCTCTATATAAATGGAAATAATAATAATACATATGTACCTTACAGAGTTGTTGTAGGCACAAAATAAGATAATGCATGTCAAATAGTTAGCAAAATGCCAGACACATAGCAAGTACCCAATAAACACTAGCTATTATTACATTGTAATCAACCTATATTATAGGAAATGTCATAAAAATGTATATCTAATAATCAGTAATTTTTGGACTCAGCTCATTGCAAATGGAAATAAGAAAAATTATGTCAGTTATTTGATGTAACTTTGCTTTCTTTAAACCATAACCACTATTTCTCTGCATCTAGTGCCTTCCTCACTCTCTTTGATGCTTGCCTCCCTTTCAGTCACATTTCAGAACACTTCCTAAGGAGAGTAATTTTCTAATCAGAGCACTTGATAGCTCGAAGTACTAAGGCAGAGATTCTTCCCATGTCTTCAGCCACTTTCCAGACTTCCAGATTGGAAAGGTGGTGAGTGTAGCACTGGGAACAGCTGATAGAGGTGTTTGGTGGCAGTAATGTCATCATATTTCATAGGCCCTGACTGTAGTTTAACCAACCAGAAGGACCACCACCCCAGCCTAGGAAAGCTCATTTAGTGTTAACATAAGACTTTGTGCCATTTATTTTAGCTTTTTTTTTCTTTCCTGAAAGACCGATATTGCTCTATTCCATTTATAACTTCTGTTAACTGCCCCCTTCCCCATCCTATATTCCAATAGACTTACATTTTACATAAAGTCAAATCTCTTCACCCAGTCTGTCATGGCCCACCAAAGCGTCCAATTGCATGAGGCCTGGCAGATAGCACTCTACTGCCCCTCCATATAGCTCTTAGGATGTACACACTACACATTTGCCTCACCGTGTCACTTTCCCAGCCCTTGGTCACTCTTAATGTGTTTTTGTTTTGTTTTGTTTTGTTTTGTTTTTTTAGACAGAGTCTCACTCTGTCACCCAGGCTGGAGTGCAGTTGCAGATGTATGATCTCAGCTCACTGCACCCTCTGCCTCCTGGGTTCAAGTGATTCTCCTGCCTCAGCCTCCTGAGTAGCTGGGGCTATAGGCATGTGCCACCATGCCCAGATAATTTTTGTATTTTTAGTAGAGATGGGGTTTTACCATGTTGGCCAGGCTGGTCTTGAACTCCTGACCTCAGGTGATCCACCCACCTCAGCCTCCCAAAGTGCTAGGATTATAGTTATGAGCCACCGTGCCTAGCCTCAACATGGTATCTTGCCATCTTTGGCACATATCAAGAGATGCTGACTGATCCCTAATGTAAGTATAGGCTGATATATATTTAGTTATGAGCTCCATGCCTCACTGAAGATTGTGTTTGTTCCAACATGACTTCTTCAGAGACCCACCCTGAGCTTGGCAGGTCATACCAGGTCTGCATAAAATGAGTGTCTGGCTGCTTGCCTGTGGCCTCAGCACTGGTTCCCTAAATCACCTTAGTCTTTTTCATGCTGCTATAATAGTATACCACAGACTGGGTAATTGATAAACAATAGAAGTTTATTTGGCTCATGGTTCTGGAGGCTGAGAAGTCCAAGGTCTAGGGGCTGCATCTGGTGAGGGCCTTCTTGCTGTGTCATAACATGAGGGAAGGCATCAAATGGTGAAAGAATGTGCAAGAGAAAGCAAGAGAGGGCCAAAGTTGCTTTTATAAGAAACCTACTCCAGAAACAAAGACATTAATCCGCTCATGAAGGCAGAGCCCTCATGACCTAATCACCTCATAAAGGTCACACCCTTCAATACTGTTGCATTGGGGATTAAGTTTCCAACACATGAACTTTGGGGGACACATTTAAACCATTTCATCACTTGACCCCACTTCACCTTCTTTGCAACTCTCAAATTGTTTCCTCCCTCAGGAACTTGGACCATTGGCCTGATTTCTTTAGCTTGCAAGAGGAGTCAGTCTCTCTTCCGGTCTTTGAACTTGGCTTCCCTACCATGAATGCTTTGTAAGTTAAGAGGCTTTAGGTTGCAAGTTACACACACACACACACACACACACACACACACAAAAAGAAGAAGAAGAAGGAAAGAAAGAAACTAACTTTAACTGACTTAAATAAGAAAAGAAAGTAATCCATTTGGATGATGTAAAAGGTCAGAAAAACTCTGGGTTCAGTCAACCCTCCATCCGGGGGGCTTTAAAAATATGCTGAATGCTCAGTTTCTCACTCTCATTTTCAACTTTTGTTCTTCAGAGTTGTTGGTTCCACTTTTATCAGGCTCACCCCTCTAGGGTACATACTTCCTTTCACCCCGCTGGAAGAAAGAGCTTGACTTTCTCAGCCACTAACGAAAAAACATGGGCTTTAGTCTGATTGGATGATGTTAAGACCATGTCCTATCTCATACCAGTCACCAAGGTTGGAGTTACTGGACTTAGTGTTCCCAAAGCACATGGGCACCCTTGAGAAGGACTGGACACCCACCTGAAATAGGAGTCCTGTAACCAAGAGAAAAGGGCACTGTATGCCTCAACAGCAATCCCCCCGCAGGTGGGCTCAAGTCCTCCTCCTGTGGAGTTTTGTCTTCATGGGACATCCTTGGGCTAACACCACTCCCAGCTCACCCAGGACCTTTCATTTCTGTGTCCTGGCTCACATGAGCGGCTCCCCAGAATAACTCACTCACTCGGCCTTGTCTTTGTTGGTGGGACCTGAACAGTAATCTCCTTAGAAGCTTAGATTATAGGTTTAATTTCTGAAATATTTTCAAAAGCATCATCCCTAAGCAGTAACTATTTCCAAGTTCTAAATATATCTCCCCCTGCCCCCAAGAAATTCTAGAAAGGCCTCTGCTCATTCCTATTGATAGAAAAAGTAAAGGGAAGAAATGGCAAAGGCAGTATCCTCTGCTTGGTCTCTATCTTGCTTATTCTTGCTAGGCAAGTTCTTATCAACAAACACCTCTTCAGTAGGTAGGACAAGTTTAGCATATTTAGGTGACTTAGGTTATGGTATGCAAATACAATGCTGTATGGAGTCCTAGGGGTCATGTTAGCATTGTGAATATCTCATTCAAGTTTGAGGTGATTCCTGGGAATTCTGGGGGTCTTTATTTCCTCTTCAGCCTCTGGACTTGCAGGGCTCTGATTGTTCCAGGGCTGTTTTGGGGGCTGTCTGTATTGTGTTCCCTCTTACCACAGTTCACATTAGGCTGGGTCAGTGAATCAACGAAGGCCCAAAATGCAACCAACTTTCCATTCAAGAAAAATCGTAAGCAGAGAGTCCTTCTCTATAAGGCAGTGTTACCAAAGAAGTCAGAAAACATGGACTATGACCTCAAAAAGTAGCTGCATTTTTTGTGATATACATTGTGTGTGTGTGTGTGAGAGAGAGAGACAGAGAGAGAGGGAGAGAGAAAGAGGATGCCTTAGAAATACTTGAAAAACATTTGAAAAAGTGGTTAGAAGTCACCCCCCTTATATAACCTGGTGAGTTATTTACGTTAAACTTCCAGAACTAACATGGTTCTGTTTTGTGATTGTGAATAAGAGAGCCAAAACAGAAGAGGAAAGATTGTGACATACATTTGGATATGGCTGCTGGAGTCACAATGGTAGAGAAATGGGCAGTTCTTTGTGAGCAAGATTCGACCCAAATAACAATTGCCATCAGTGAATCATGTGGGTGTCATATGAGCATTGACCATGAGGTGTGTTGGGACCTGGCTGCTATGCCAGTGGGATGTGAGGCTTTTGCCAGGAATAGGAGTCTTAGGGATGAGGAAATATGCTTAGCTGTGAGAATTGGCCCTTTAGAGGTTGTGTAGAGCCCAAGTCACAATGTCTAAGGGGTATAGCAAACCTGAAATTGATTCCTGACTCAATTTCAGAAAGGTCTAATCTGGTGGGTAGTGAGGGCATCAGGAGTCTCTGGCAGAGATCAGTGAGTGAGTGGCAACATCATCACAATCCCTCCCCATATCAAGGCAAAGACTCACCTGGTGGCTGACACCTGATATAGGCTGTAGAGTTTAGTCTTTGGGGAAAGATGCTGACAAAATACTGTTAGAGTTCAAGGCAGGCATTGCTCCCAAATAGAGTATGCACTCCGGAGACCCAGGCAGGTGTGGGGTAGAGCGATGCAGCTGACAGAGCTCACAGCATCCAGCTTTTGCAGAGGAAGCCTTGTTCCAAACCTGGGCTGGGCCTGCAAAAGGTGGCCTGCAATCCTGCTTCTTTGGAAACAAAGGATTATGGGTTGTTAAAACTATTATAATAAACATGTTCTTGTAAAACATGAAAGTTATAAGGCCCTATATTGACCTGGACATAGACAGTGGCATTCTTTGTGTTCAGCATGTCTGTTTTTGTTTCAAAAACTTCCTCTCCAGTATTATACAGGATTAAGCTGTTTTGTAATAGAACCAAGTTTAAGACTTCCTTAACTGGAATCTCACCTTTTCTCGACTATTGTTGCTCCCCATTTAACAAAGTGTTAAAAGCCCTCAAAGGGTGTGTTATTAAATATATTGCTTTTTCCATAAATTTGCTCTGCTGAGACTTACATTTCTCAGAAATGAAAAAACCTGGTGGCTTCTTAGCAAAACTCAGGCTTATTTTTAATGAAATTTTGTTTTTAAAAATAAAGAATGTACAATTATATAAATAAATGTGTTCCCTAGTAAAAGACAAATGTAATCATTCTTAATTGCATGGGAAGGCAATATGTTGGGGTTTTCTGCCTAGGTTTTAAGGTTGATTAAAAATTGGCATGAAACAGCTTGTAGAATAGCAACGATGTACTGTGTTATGTAACCCTGAGCCTTTATGTTGGCTTTTAAATAACCCGATTTGGATCTGGTGTCATATGATTTTCTCAGGATAGGAACCCAATAACCCAATAGCATACAATAACCAAGATAACAAATTAAAAATCTGCTCCTGACTGAAAATGTTTCTTTCTTTTTCACATATAGGATTATAGTTTTAACTCGGTTTGTGTTAGTATTGCAGACAACTCAATTATCTACAAGAATGAAGGAGATTAGTGGTAAAAATAGCACAACCCACCCAGTAATCTAAAAAGCATTACCATATTTCAGGTTGTCTCCTATGTTTGCTGTTATGAATATTGTTTCTTTTTTCTTTTCTTTTTTGTTGTTAGAGACAGGGTCTCACTCTGTTGCCCAGGCTGGAGTGCAGTGGTACAATCATAGCTCACTGCAGCCTCAAACTCCTGGGGTGAAGTGATCTTCCCACCTCAGCCTCCTGAGTAGCCGGGACTACAAATGTGTGCCACCACGTCCAGCTAGTGTTGTTTCTTTAGGACCCTGTTTTAATTGACTATCCTCATCGCCCCTACTTCTTGTCTGAACTCCTAGATCGATCTCCTGCTTGGTCTTCCTGTTCCCTGGTCTCCTTGCCAGTCCATCCTCCACACTGCAGCTAGGATGAGTCTTCCAAAAGCCAAATCTGGACTTAGCCTTCTTTAGTTTGTGTCTTTGTGTTCTTTGAGTTCCTTGTGTCTTAGCACCGCCTACAGATCCGTGGCACAAAACGTCTCCTGCTTGCCTCTCCAGACCAGCTATACTGCAGTCCTCTGCTTTCAGAGGACTCTGCTTTCAGGCCTGCAGGGCACCTTGTTTGCTGCACCTTGGGCCCCTCTACCTGCTCTGCCCTTAGCCCAATGCACTCACCCTGGTGAGATATCACCCTGTGAGGCTTCCCTAACTCCATCCCTGGAGTAGGCTGAACAAAGACCCCCCAGCAAAAGATATCTGCATCTAGATCCCAAAGTCTTCCTCGAATGTTACCTTGCATGGCAAAAAGAGAACTTTGCAGATGGGATTCAAGTAAGGATCTTGGGATGGAGAGTGTCCTGGCTCACCCAGGTGGGCCTAAATGCTATCACAGGTATCCTCCTGACTCCTTGATTTCAGCCCAACAAAGTTGAGTTTGGACTTCTAGCCTCCAGAACTGTGAGAGAATAAATTGTGTTATGTTAAGCCACCATGTTTTGTGGTAATTTGGTACAACGGCCACAGCAAACAAGTACAGTCCCCACCCTAGACAGATTCGTACTCTGTCTTCTCTATTCCCTGGGGTTCTGTGGAGCACACCTCTATTAGAGACTGAACAGGCTGTGCTCTGCTTGTCAGTGGTTGCTTTCTCTACTCCTTCTCAGCTTCCCTTTTAAAATTTTTTAATTTTTAATTTTTGTGAGTACCTAGTAGGTATGTATATTTATGGGGTACATGAGATGTCTTGATACAGGCATGCAATGTTTAATAATCACATCATGGAGAATGGGGAATCCATCCCCTCAAGCTTTTATAATTGTGTTACAAACAATCCAGTTATACTTTTTTAGTTATTTTTAAATGCACATTTAAGTTATTATTGGCTGGAGTCACCCTGTTGTGCGATCAGATAGTTGGTCTTACTCATTCTTCCTGTTTTTTTGTACCCATTAACCATCCCCACCTCACCACCCCCTACCCCAGTACCCTTCCCAGCCTCTAGTAACCATCCTTCTACTCCTTCTGAGCTTCTTAGGGGGTACTTTGCATCCTTGATTCCTGACAGAGGGCCTAACATTTAGCGGTTGCTGAATGAATACCAAATGGATGCATGACTGGATGGATAACGTCCTGATGTGAGCTTGCTGAAGTTGTCTGTCCCCTACATCTCTCCTCTTCTCTCCAATCATTTTCATTTCACGTCCTTTCCCTCTACATAGTGTGTTTTTCTCAAGCAGTGCCTACATGCGGTTTTCAGTTGCGCAATGGTTTTATTTTTCTCCTTAACATCTTTTCTTGGTTCTGCCAGCTTCCTTTTCATTTCTTCTCTTGTTATCATCTCCTCTTAACTCTATTTTTAAATAAATCCATCTTCTCCTTAATTTCACTGAGGCTGCAAAGGAGGGTGTATTTAAAATTTTTTAGCTTGGAAAATTTTAAACCTATAGAAAAGTAAAAAAGAATAGTACAATAAACACCATATGTCCCTCACCTGGAGATTCACCAATTGTTAACATTGTGAAATATTTGTTTCTCTCTCTCTCTCTCTCTCTCTCCATATATATATGGAGTAATGGGCTATTTGAAAGTCAGTGGCACACATTATAAATGTTTACCCCTAAATACTTAAAGATGTACCTCTGAGAGTTTGGATGTCTTCCTGTCCCATCCTAACTGTCCTGGAGATATCTCATGTGCCTACCTGTCTACTGGGTACAAATGCAAAACAACTACAGTTCCTTCCTAAGAGTTTACCACGAGATGGGGTGAACTGAACACCCATGTCTCAGACATGTCCCCTGGTTCAGGCCATTACAGTCATTTCTGCAGTAATTGGTTGAGCTAAATCACTCAACCTGTACTATTGCTGATACAAGATGCTAGATCTCATTTCCAGTTCATGCATGTTTTATTACCAGAAACAAGAGATGTCATTATTCCAGTTGTGAGTTGCATGCAACCATTACTGTGTTCAAAACGAGCTCAGAATCTGTGGTGCTTTTGTGCCATGTACTAGCTCCATTTGGATCTGATTTTGCATTTATGTTTTGAAGACAGAGCCAGGAATATGGTTGAGTTCAAAGCCAGAGCTGAGACAGAGCACCAATTCTACACACCCCTGTATTACCATATCCCATCTCCTTGTGGCCAAACCACTGCTCTTGTTCCACAATGGATTACAGTTCAATAACACAATACTACAGGTCAATTTGAAATATCTAAAGAACATTCTGACACAATAAAAGTAGAACAGAAAATTGTTATTCGAAATACAATGAAAATATCTTAATGCTTATCAGTGCTGCTATTTTGAACCTCATTCTATATAAATTGTATGCTGTGGCTGCCACCATGTATTTGCCAAGACATCCTGGAAAAGCCAGAAATTACGCTACAGTGGTGACAACAGTGAGCACTACAGACATTAATTGAAGGCACCTTCCTGTGTTTCTGGCCTCTACTTATAACTACATTATTAAGATGTGGAACAACCTTTCCTCCTAACTATTGTCATTGCTTTATTTCATTTGTATTGAGAAAAAGAAACAAATTCTGCTAATTAAAAACTTGTGGTGCATTGACATTGACTAGCCAAAAGGTTATCTATTGCATTCTACAGATAAATAGTGATTCAGACTTGACCTGGGTGCCTTGGGGTCAAAATTTGACTGCTATCTAGCTGTGTGACTTTGCATAAGTCACTTTCCTTCTCTGGCCCTGTTCTCTTCCCTGACCAATAAAAGGACAGGGAAGCTAGGGAGTGGAAGAAAGAGAAAACAAAAGAAAGAGAGAGATATTTAAACTTCCATTAATTCCAAAATGTTAGAAAAAGAGATAACGTGCTGAATAAGTAATGATGTAGACATTTTTAATCTAATGTAATGGGAAGTTTCTAAGGGCCTGCTCAGTGTATGCAAATGATACTTCTGATTACAGGAGTTTGTAGTCATTAAAGTACATTTACCAAAGCTTCTAATTGGAAGCAGTATTTAGTAATGGTTACCTCAAGTTACTGTATGTCTTTGAAGGTAATCAAACCACCATCTTTTAAAAGCATTGCAAATTGGAAGTTTTCCTCTCCAATAACTAGGGGAATTAATGAGGATTTACTGTGTTACTACCATTCACAGGAATGTGTTAAATAAATTTAATAAGCATGCAATCAACCTCGAATAATTAGACAAAATTTCAGAAAAAAACATAGAATAAGATGTATCAGTTTATACGGAGTACTATCAGGAAACTGTTTCTGACAGCTGCTTTATACCAGTATATTTCTTGTTTTTTTAGTATAATTCAAATTAACTAGAATTTAAAAGTCAGCAAGCAACTTTTTACTACACTCTTAATTGTTGAAATCTGAACTCTGGGACAAATTTTGCTCTCACAGAAACTGGGTTTTTGGTATATTCCAACCTCAGTTATTATAAACTAGTTACTCACTGAGATCCTTCTAGGACCAAAGGTCAAAATTTCCTATTTCTAGACAGTTTATATTTGATCCAATAGTTCAGTTCAAATGGTATTTAATAAACAATGTCTCTGTGCTAGGTCTATACTAGTCATTAGTTTACTAGTCATTAGTCATACTAGTTTAAAAGTATTGAGATGAGTTGGTGTGTAAGTCACAGCTCTGCCTTCAAGGAGCTAGTAGTCTAGTGGAGAAATGGCCTTGTAAAAATTAACCGCAGTATTGTACAATACA